AATATAAAAAGGGTTTAATTGTCCTTTCAATGCTTTTTTTTACTGTTGGCCCCCTCGATTTTTACATCTGACGCGCCTAATTTGAGTGTATTTCACGCATTTTGCCAGGTAGGATCCGAGTGTTTTTTTGTTTAAGTTTTGGATAGTTAAAGTGCCTATTTGTGCACTTACAAAGTTAAAGGTCAAAGTTATAATTTGAAGCCAAGTTAAGGGTCCAATTTATGTATTATGCCAAAAATTATACATAGTTGTTATTGAATAAAATTAAGGGAAAATGCATAAGTACCCCCCCAGCCTATGCCCGAANNNNCCCCCAGCCTATGCCCGAAATCTCAGAGACACACCTAACCTTTACTAAGGTCCTATTACCCCCTCGAACTTAATTTATCTATAATATTCTACCCCTTTTCGGCCTACGTGGCACTATCCTTGAAAAAAATGTTAACGTGCGCTGGGCCCACAAGATAGAGCCACGTAGGCCAAAAAGGGGTAGAATATTACATATAAAATAAGTTCGGGGGGGTAATAGGACCTTAGTAAAGGTTAGGTGTATCTCTGAGATTTCGGGCATAGGCTGGGGGGATACTTATGCATTTTCCCTAAAATTAATTAAAAGTCGGAGTCGCAACAACCCCACACTTAAAACTTAAGCATTCATACAAGTTAAGCTCAGACTAAACGTTACACACATTCATAATCAGTGACAGACAATCATAAGGGTGTGGGGCACCCGACTCTCCCCGCGCTGTGTCAATTGTAAACCATAAGGTTCTCTAGCATATGTCCTGGCAGTATAGCATGGTATCCACCCCTATGATATGCACCTAGTCGCACAAAATAAGCGAAAACAAACATTGAACTATCTAAACAAACTGACATGATTTTCTTAGGTGGGCAATTATCAAGAAGATCAGCTACAGACAATACAATGCAATTTAGTGCAGTTCAGTTTAGCCAAGATAGTTTAGCTTACAAGAAATATGCCCGACATTGACATTATGCCCTAACAGTGCAAACAAAACAATACTAGACTCTCCTTCAATACTATCTAAAACAGCAAAATACAAGAAAGAAACAAAAAGGCTTAATACATGCCAACAAATTTCATTTAGTCACTTGTTACTTAGCTGAAGCTTAATTTGATAGCCTTTCAAGGTCCAAGAACTTCGAGCAACTTCAAAATTGTTCATTGTCAGCTTGAATATTACATGTTCACTCTTTAAATGCCATTTACTTGTGTTGAACAGATTTAAATACTTTTTCCTTAGGGAAAAGGCAAATCTGTTAAAAGTTTGGCTCATCTATGCCATACCGTTTGAGAAAAGGCTCATCCATGCCATTATTTTTTAACACCGGTTTTGTAAAATTATTTTTATCACAACATGACCCCAAACAACTTTTAACCCTTTTCAATTGAGGTTTTGAATCAAATGTACTCTTTTTACTTCTTCCTAGTCAAGAACACATGAAGAACGTCAAAAACTTCCAAATTTCCAACTTCTTCAATTCTAAACAAATCACCTCAAATTTCGGGCACGTCATTCATTTTTATTTTTTTCTTTTAAAAAACGGAAAAGGGTCAAATATACCCCTATACTATTGGAAATAGTTTATATATACCCTTCGTTATACTTTCGGGTCATATATACCCCTCCCGTTATACTTTGATACATATATACCCTAATTTAAACAGAATAACACATGTCTGCTTAAAAATCAAATAACCCATCCCTAATTTTAATTACCCAATTCCTTTGAAACCCACCCATTTCCTACTGACCCACCTTCAAAGAAACCCATTTTCTTAAGTCATCTTTTTTATCTAAAATTTTCATTAAAATCAAGCCTCAACCACCGTGAAAGCTCACTGTGAAACTCAAGGAAGAAGTGAAAAGCTAAAACCATCTAGACTGAATCCTCAACTTTCGGCAACCAACACCAGCAAGAGCATCCCACAATATAAAATGGAAAGCTTTTCGTAACACAAATGATGCAAATACCTTTTAAGGAAAGTTGATATTGAAGCTTATAGTGAGAAATTATAGTCAAAGGAGATGGTGTGGAGATTTAGCATCTGGTGTGTTGAACTTATATTTTTTTTACTTATGGAGTACTCCCTTGGTACTGTTAATATTAATAAAATTATTTTATCCTAGTTAAAAAATAAAAATGGAAGCAATGCTTCTCACTTCCTCCTCTAGTTTCACAGTGAGCTTTTGTGGCTGATTTTAATGGAGGTTTCGCTTCCTCCTTTAATCCTCTAGTTTCACAGTGAGCTTTTGTGGCTGATTTTAATGGAGGTTTTAGATAAAGAAGATGACTTGTGAAATTGGATTTGGTTGAAGGTGGATCACCCGGAAAATGGGTTTTAAATGGGTGGGTTTCAAAGGAATTGGCTAATTAAAATTTGGGGATGTGTTATTTGATTTTTAAGCTGACATGTGTCATTCTGTTAAAATTAGGGGTATATATGTACCAAAGTATGACGGGAGGGGTATATATGACCAGAAAATATAACGAAGGGTATATATAAACTATTTCTAATAATACAGGGGTATATTTGACCCTTTTCCGTTTAAAAAAAGCCTAAATTCTTAAATCATTTGTGGAGTTAAAAAAACCCACCCGTATTATAAAAATATTCCAAAAAAAAACTGAAATCAGTCCCAAAATTTCAAAATTTTGCTTTGATTCTTGTTTTTATTGTTATTTTTTATACTAGCTCGTTGTTCCCAGTGTTTTTGAATCTATGTTCAAAATTTTAAGTGATCTGGTGTTGTGAAGAAAATTCTACCATTAAAGTATGTTGAAACTTTTAACTTTTGAAGAAATTTCAAGTGGGTCTTATTGAATTAGGTTGAATTCGAGATCAAAAGATATTGACTTTAGGTATCTAGCTCGGAGGGAAGCTACTTTTGAAATTTGAGATGATTTCGTGAAGAACCGAAGAAGTTGGAAATTTTTAGAGTTCTTAGTATTTTCATTTGTTCTTGGTGTTCTTGAGGAAGAATAAACAAAAGGAGTATATTTGATCCAAACTTCCGATTGAAAAATGTCAAAAGTTGTTTGGGTCTTGTTGAGGTAAAAAAACTAATGTCATGAATGAACCTTTTCTCAAATAACAATGACATAGATGAGCCAAACTTTTAACGGAGAACATAATTGAGCCTTTTCAAATTCTAATGACATTAAAACCTTTACCTTTTCCTTACAACAATGTCTGGATCAATTTCTAAACAACTATTTCGAAAAAGAATAGGTTTGTTGGAAATGATAGTTTTCTTTTGTTTTACTTTAATTCACTAAATATTACTCCTTCCGTCCCATTTTATGTGAGGTAGTTTGACTCGACATGAAGTTTAAGAAAGAAAGAAAGACTTTTAAAACTTGTAGTCCAAAATGAATGATAGAAATTTGTGTGGCTGTAAATCATTTCATTAAGGGTAAAATAAACATTTATAGTTAAATTGTTACTTAGTATAGAAATGTGTCATTCTTTTTTGGAACTGACTAAAAAAGAAAATAAGTCACATAAATTGGGACAGAAGGAAAATTGGATATCAATTTCTAAATAATAATTAAAAAAAATATCAATTTTTAAACATAAAAAAATGTTACAGTAGGTAAGAAGTCCTATATTGATTGGGAAATGGACAGGAATTCTGCTTATATGTAGTTGGAAAATTTTTCTTCTCATGAATTAGATTTTGTGGTTGAGTTAGTTGCAAGTGTCATATATTTATATGGTATCATAGCCAGATCCATCCTAAAACCATCCATTTTTGGGCTCCTGATCTACGCTCTAGTTGGGCTTTTTGGGCTCTCGGTCCACCCTCCACTTGGGCCTGGGCATGAAGGAGGTGGTTCCCTTTTGGACTCTCGGTCCACGCTCCAGTTGGGCCTTTTGGGCTTTTGGTCCACGCTCCAGCTAAGCCTGGGCGTGAATGGGTAAAAGGTCCACAATGATTGACGAATGTACTAGTTGTCTGATTTCTTTGTGCTTATGAATCCTCCAATTCCAGGTTCGTCTTCTTGTTTGTTTTCTTTTGAAGCTCTTGAGTTTCTTGAAAGTTTGGTTGAAATTGAATGATTTAAAATGACCCAAAATGGAAAATAATGAATGACATGTAAATTGTAATAAAATTTGAATAGGTTCATCATGTTATGCCCTACATTCATCATGTTGTGCCCTAGTTATGAGCTGTTATCAAATTCCATATGGATGCTCCATCTTGAAATGCTAACACCCATAAATGCTTTGAATTGATCGTGTAATTTTCTAATAAAATTGATTATTGTTCATGTTATTGAAGACCTAAGGGATGAAGATACAGATTCAAATCGTAGATACCGAGGCATGTTGAGAAGGATAGATATAAAGAGACATCAACGTGAGTGGATGCAATATATAAGAGGACTAGTTTTGATATGGGAGATAGTGGAACAAGAAATGAATGAATTCCTTCTGGAGAATTATTCAAATGATTTAATCTTGGATATTCAGAATGTCTCGCTTGCTGAAATTGTCGAGCCACCATCAAATTTCATCTTGCCACTATTGAGGTACTATTACAACAAAAGTATGGAGTAATTTCAATATATATTATCCAAAGAAGACAATGATTTAAATACAGGTAAAGAAAAGACTAACTAAGGTAACTAATTATCTAAATCCCTAAGAATCAGTTAGAATATTATATACAAGGAAACATATAACTTTATGATTCTCTAACACTCCACTCAAGCTGGAGCATAGATATTGATCATGCCCAGCTTGTTACAAAGGTAATCAACTCGAGTTCCATTCAACGCTTTTGTCAACAAATCAGCTAGTTGCTCTCCTGTCTTTAAGTGGCCAGTGGAAATCAGATTCTCCTGAATCTTCTCACGAATAAAATGAAAATCAACTTCAATATGTTTAGTTCTTTCATGATACAGCGGATTTGAGGCAATATGAAGAGCAACTTGATTATCACACCAAAGTTTTGCTAGTGTATGATGCTTTAACCCAATTTCAGTTAAGAGATGATGTATCCACATAATTTCACATATGGATTGCAACATAGCTCTGTACTCAGATTATGCACTGGATCGAGATACAACACCTTGCTTCTTACTCCTCCATGATACTAGATTCCCTCCAACAAAGACACAATATATAGTCTGTTGTAGATCTTCTATCAATTTTGGATCCAGCACATTCAGCATCTACAAAACACTCCACACGAGTATGACCATGATTGTTATACAATATGCCATGTCCAGGAGCTCCTTTTAAGTAACATAGAATATGTTTTACAACTTCCCAATCTTTGACCGTAGTTGCGGACATGAACTGATAACAACACTTACCGCAAAAACAATATCTGGACGAGTCACAGTCAAGTAGTTTAAATTCCCAACCAACCTTCTATATCTTTCTAGATCATCAAAAGGATCACTGTCATCTTTCATAAGATGTACATTGGGTACCATTGGAGTATTGCAGGGTTTAGCTGCCAACTTTCCAGTGTTTGCAAGAAGGTCAAGAATATACTTTCTCTGAGACAGAAAAAATCCCTTCTTGCTTCTGTTCACTTCTACTCCCAAGAAGTATTTCAATTGGCCCAAGTTCTATGTATGAAATCTAGTATGCATAAAAGACTTAAGGGAAGAAATCCCTGCATAATTACTTCTTGTGATAACAATGTCATCAACATATACAACAAGGAGGATAGTGCCTGTTGTTGATTGTCGGTAGAAGACTGAGTGATCACATTTGCTCATTTTCAGCCCAAAATCCTGAACTACCTCACTGAACTTGCCAAACCAAGCCCGGGGACTTTGTTTCATGCCATACAAGTTCTTTTTTAATATCTAACTGATGTAAAGGCCAATTCTGAGAAGTAGCTAGAGAAATGAATAGGCGGACATAAGTGAGTTTGGCAACCGGAGAGAAAATGTCTGAATAATCTACCCCATAGGTTTGAGCATATCCTTTAGCCACAAGTCTAGCCTTAAGTCTTACTATAGACCCATCTAGATTAACTTTAACTGTGAAGACCCACTTACATCCCACTGATTTCTTTCCCTTAGGTAAATCCACCAAATCCCATGTGTGATTTTCTTCTAAGGCATGTATTTCATCAAGCATTGCACATACCATCCGGGATGATCAAAGCCTCTTTCACTGTTTTGGGTACAGAGATAGAGTCTAGAGAGGCAATCAAAGATCTAGACACAGAGGATAAGCCATCATAGGGAACAAAATTAGCAATATAATATGTGGATTTGCAACTACGAGTACCTTTGCGAAGAGCAATAGGGAGGTCAAGCTTTTCTGCAGGATTTGGTGGCAAATGGATTGTTATAGGACATGTATCATTGGTCTCTCGCCTTGTCGAGTAAAATTGAACAACTGGTGGTCTTACTACCGCCAATGGAGTAGGAATTGATGGGACAATAGTCGATTGATCCTCAATAAAAGAATTGGGAAATGGAGAGACAACATTTGATTCTTCCGTCAAAACACGAGTAACTTGATAGACCCACTCATCTTCCTCCTCCTGACTTGTAGAAATTGGAGGTGTATAGAAGAATGGTATAGACTCTGAAAATGCCACATCAATCGACACCAAATATCTGCCAAGTTCAGTAGAATAACACCGATACCCTTTTTAGAGGTGGAAATAACCTAGGAAAACACACTTCAATGCCTTGGGATCCAACTTGCTAACAAATGGTCGAACATAACACGTGCATCCAAATACCTTAGGTTCCACTGAAAAAAGTGACTTATTTGGAAAGATAACACTATAAGGCATATTACAAGCACACACAGTAGACGACATGCAATTAATAAGAAAGCAAGTCGTAGAGACTGCATCAGCCCAAAAATATTTAGGAACCTTCATTTGAAATATAAGTGCTCGAGCTGTCTCAAGTAAATGTCTATTCTTTCTCTCAACAACTCCATTTTGAGAGGGTGTATCAACACAAGAAGATTGATGAAGAATATCATGTTGTCTCATATATGACTGAAATATTTCTGACACATTCTTTAGCATTGTCACTTCTTAGAATACATATTGAAGCATTGAATTGAGTTTTGACTTCAACACAAAAGTGAGTACACACTTCTGAGCGACTCATCATAAAGTAAATCTGAGAGAAATCATTCACAAAAGTAATAAAGTACTTATGCCCAGTTTTAGAAATGATAGGACATGGTCCCCAAACATCAGAATGAATTAACTCAAAAGTTGACCCAACCCGTTTATTTACCCTTGGACTTAATGATGTGCAATGATTTTTTGCAAATCGACAAGCTTCACATTCCAATGAAGAAATATTCTGAAACTCAGGACACAACTTCTTTAATAGAGGTAAAGAAGGATGTCCCAATCAACAATGTGCATCATATGGAGACACGATACTAGAGCAAACAACAGGCTGAGACTCCCACTCATCAAGGATGTAAAGATCATCAGATACATGTCCTTTACCAATAATCTGATTTGTCTTAAGATCACAAAACATGCAATGATCAGGAAAGAATGAAATATAACAATTAAGGTCTCTCGTAAGTTTACTAACAGAGATCAAATTAATAGCCAATTTTGGTAGACTTAACACAAATGACAGAGTAATAGAAGAGGTTGGCATAACAATTCCAAATCCAACACTAGTACAAGTAGACCCATCAACTACAGTGATGGGAGAGGGAGATTTGTGTGATTGAAAGCTAAAGAAAATATTAGAATTACCAGTCATTTGATTTGTGACACCTGAATCAATTACCCATTTATTTGAAGAGGTGATAAGACATGTTTTATCTTGCCACTATTGAGGTACTATTACAACAAAAGTATGGAGTAATTTCAATGTATATTATCCGAAGAAGACAATGATTTAAATACAAGTAAAGAAAAGACTAACTAAGGTAACTAAATATCTAAATCCCTAAGAATCAGCTAGAATATTATAACAAGGAAACATATAACTTTATGATTCTCTAACAGGTACCAAAAGGAGTGGCTGGCTTGGTCATTAAAGCAAGAAACTATATTCAAAGGGGGTATTCTTGCTGATGAAATGGGTATGGGGAAGACGGTTCAAGCCATAGCACTTGTTCTTGCTCAACGCGAATTAAAGAAAGCAACTAGTGATTCCAGTATATTGTCGTCTTCACTCGGTACTTCCCAGGAGCTCCCAACAGTAAAAGGAACTCTTGTTGTGTGTCCTTTGATTGGAGCATTGCAATTGATTCGTGAGATTGAACGTTGCACCATTAAAGGAAGCAACAAAACTCTTCTTTATCATGGCGCCGATAGGGAGAAATGTAAGTACAAACAGGAGGAATATGATTTTTTCATTACTACATACTCCACTATCCAGGCTGACTATAGGCCAAAAAGGAAAAAGCAGAACAGCAGTGTTGGTGAAGATGTGTCCAGGAGGAAGTCAGTTCTGCATTCAGTGAAGTGGGATCGTATCATTTTGGATGAGGCAAGTCATACATTCATAGATTCATGCATTAAGTTTTTTGTTTTTGTAACTTGGCATTTCCAAGTACAAGGTTCATTTGCTGTTTAGGCAATTTTTTTCAAGTCGATCATGTTAACTGCTTAATAATGTGCTAATAGCTATGCTGGTTATTAGAATGTGAAGAATCTTGTGGTGGTTAGGAAGAAACCTACACACTTAACTTCTGTTCTCTCTGTTGCCCTTGAACGATGCTGCATGTGGTTTGTAGTTTGTGCCTGGTCTAGCTGTTGAGTCCTGAGCGTAGAACTCTTAAATTTCATATGACATTTTATCTGCAATGTTCTTAACTGATTGAACTTCTATGGCGTAGGCTCATTGTATCAAATCTGTACACAGCAACTCCACAAAAGCGGTTCTTGCTTTAGAATCTTTTTATATGTGGGCGGCCTTAACTGGTACACCCCTGCAAAACCACATTGGAGAATTGTACGCAGTTGTAAGTTAAATTCTGCTAGTTAAACTACATTTTCTTTACTTCTTTAATCGTGAGGTTAATTAAATTCTTTACTTCTATACAGGTTCGTTTCTTACAAGTTACCCCTTATGTTTGTTACTTTTGCGAAAATTGTAATTGCACTGGACTTGATTTTAGGTAGACACAAAGATTCTTTTTTAAATCCTTGTTCCTATCCCTGAGTGTGAAATTCACAATGGCTCAAAGTCTATTTTACTTTATATTCTAATCATTTTGCTTCTCAATTGGTGTTACTTTTGAAACATCTTGTGTTGTCTGTCCTTCAATAAATTCTACAGCTTCTCCAATGCATGCCCACAGTGCTCCCACCAACCTGCAAGCCACTTCCTCTGGTGGAAGAAAGTAAGTTAATAGTTAAGAATTTACATACTTCTGAAGCTTCATCTTATTGCTGACATAGTTAAGTTGAAACATCTTCTTTTTTTCTAGTATATTGAAGAACCTTCATGGTCATACGATGATGAAGGTAGAGATGTGATGGTGTGGTTGAAGCACAAAATTCTGAAAAGCCTATTGCTAAGACGTACCAAAAAAGAGAGAGCTGTTGATCTTGCACTTCCCACAAAGACTGTAAGTTCTGCTTGCACTAGTGTCGTGTGCTTCAATTCGATTAGAATCTTCTTACTGGTTACTTTTTTGGGTTCATTCAGGTTACAGTGAGAAAACATTCTTTGGATGATAGAGAATACGACTACTACAAGACACTGTGCCGTAGAAGCCAAGCACAGCTCGATATGTATGCTATCTCTCTGGTATTTCAGTTTTGCTATTATTTGAACATGCAGTGAATTCGAGAACACTAATTAAGCATGAAGAAGAAAAGATGAGAGTATTGAGAGAGAAATTCTTGAATTCTTATTGATGTTCTGATTGTACAAAAGATATACTTTCTTATACATTGAATTAGAAAAAGATTAGCTTAATAGTACTAGTTAACTATCTCCTAACTGTTATCCTAACAGACTTAACTAAGTTGTGTATTAGTTAGGTAATTTAAGTGGACATTGGTAAAGTCCCTAAATAACCCCGTAACAATTTTCAAATTTGAGTTATTCTTCCTTCTAGTCCACTTTGCTTGTCTACGTCTGCGCCAATTTTCTGGGCCATTGTTTCTCTTTTTTTGGCTGTGTATCATGTTTCCTACAGTTTTTTGTTCTCAAGTAGTTATGGAACCCTTTTGATTAGTTTCTTAGTTTTTAACTTAAGATCTTATACATCTGTTTCTTCCCATAAAATTCTTAATCATTTGTGCCATTACCTTGCCAAAAAGTAAGAAGGGAGCAAGGATATTTTTATTTCTAACTGTATCCGCATTTTGTTTTCTGGTGCAGATTTGTCCAGGATGGAAATGTGATTAATAAGCATGGTCACATATTTGTAATGATCACACGCCTACGGCAGGTACCATGAAAATGCTCTATATGTGTGAAATCTTGAACATTCTTGATTGTAATGGATTCTTGCATTCATCTTTTTGTTTTTGTTTTCTAATTGACTCCCTTTCTTGCTTAAATTTGGTGATTCCAGTGCTAAGCTTTCTAAATCGATTTATTCATTTTTTACTGGATCCAATGCAGTTTAGTGCAAATAGTATAATCATGTGTTTATCCTTTTGTCATGCAGGTCATTTTATAGGTGAAATTAGTCATCCAGAATCACTCTTTTTCTTTTAACTTCTTCTCGTTCTGCTCTTTCGATTAGTCCTGATTAATTAATAATACATTTCTTATATGTGCATCAATATGAATGTTCTGCAACTTTTTTTTGTATCTTCTGTTTCATATCACTTTTCTGATGTAGTTTTTGTATAAAAATTTTCTTGGTATAATTTTATTTTCTCAATTCTCCTTATTAGATGTTTGCTTAAATTATTTTGTCTTACTATGGGTCATCAGCCAAATTTGATTGCAGAAAATGTCTGACCAATATAATGTCTTTCTTTAATTGGCAGGTACCTTGTGATGTACTCTAGAAAAGAGTTGGCTAGTGGCAATAAAGAGGCTAGAGATGTTGAACAATCATGTGACTGGTGTCATGATGCAGTGCAAGATCTAGAAGTGAGTTTGCGCACCTCTACCCACTCCCTCCCCCATACCAAGAAATAGGAAAAGAGAGAGAGAAGAAAGGAATACCAAACAAGTTACTCAGCTGAAGTTCAATTTTTGATAGCTCTCTCCTTTTCTGCATTTATTAAATTATTTTTATGCTGGTCATTCAAGGTCCAAGAGCATCGAGCACCTTTCAATTGCTCAATGCCAGCCTGACTATTGTATCTACACTCTTTAAATGCCATTTACTGTCTTTGGAGCTCGAAAACTTGTTGGAGTTCTCATGAAGTTGTTGAGCATTTGGGATACTGTCTTTCTAGGGGCATAGACATAGAGATTTTATCGAAAGTACTTCTAGTATAAACTCCTTATACATTAGACAGAGTCTTCTTTGAACTGTGCATCTCTTTTTGATTTTTGCAGGTTACTTGTTGTAGGCACGTGTTTTGCAGGGCATGTATGAATTATTTAGCTGAAGGTGTAATGGAAGCGCCATGCCCTTCATGTACCAAACCCCTCACATTTGACTTCACTGGAAATAAAGATAAGGGAGATTCTAGTTCTAAACCTACTGTCAAAGAGTTTAGGTCCTCAAGTATATTGAACAAAATTCAGCTTGATAAATTCAAGACAAGCACTAAAATAGAAGCTTTTTTGGTATGCAATTGCATTCATCATATTCTCCTCAGCTTGCTTTTCTTCTTTGTCTTATGGGTTTATTTCATTTTCACAAGGAGAGCAAGGGGTGTGAGCTCATGATCTTGTACTTGTTAGGACCGAAATAAACAGGTGTAACGCGGAAGCTAGCAAAGCAAACCTCGAAAGACCATGAGTAAGAAGACAAACGAGAAATATCCCAAAAGACACAAAGATTTAACGTGGTTCGATCAATCGACCTACGTCCACAAAGGAGATGAGCAATCCACTATATAAACCTGAGAGTACAAAATATAGAGAGAAACAACCTCAATCAATTCACTCGGAATACATGGGAGATTCACACAAATGATAACGTATCAGGCTTGTGACCCACAAATTCTCCCCCTAACCTAAACTCTCAATGCCCTTAAGATTACATTGTGAATGCTGATTAAGTTAGAAGGAACAAACCTTTATTTATAGAGTCCTAAACCTTTTCCTACAAGAAAAGGACTAGCCAATCCAAAACCTTTTCCTAAAAGGAAAACCTATTTATGATAAGAAATTCAGGGCAAATAAAACCCAACAATATTTTCTTTCTCTGTGAACCGCTCTAAATTCTTCAGAAATAGCTCATTTTTTACTTTTATTGAATGTAGAAGGAAGAAATTAGCGACATGTTTGAAAGGGACGGTTCTGCAAAAGGAATTGTGTTTAGCCAGTTCACATCGTTTTTGGATCTGATACAATATTCTCTTAATGTAAGACATAATGGTACTTTTTCCTTCCTACATTCTCTTCTTTCCAGACTAACAAAAAAGAAGCTTGTGTTGTGTGTATTCAGCTGTGTGGCATCAATTGTGTTCAATTAGTTGGATCCTCTATTGCCGCAAGAGATGCTGCACTTAAAAGATTCACTGAGGATGCAAATTGCAAGATATTGCTTTTGAGCTTGAAGGCTGGAGGTGTTTCCCTAAATCTTACAGTTGCATCACATGTAAGGATCTATTTTTTTTCTCTGTGAACCGCTCTAAATTCTCAAGGCTTGTGCATATCTAGTGTTGCATTCTTCCACTCTTCAGGTTCATTTTATTTGGTTCATTTGATATACAATTATGACTTGTATTTATCTGTTGAATAAGCACATGTTATGTGGCTCATCTCTTGATCTTTGCTAGGTTTTCTTAATGGATCCTTGGTGGAATCCTGCAGTGGAGCAGCAAGCCCAAGATAGAGTCCATCGAATAGGGCAATATAAACCAGTCAAGTGTGTTTTGTATTTCTTCTGCTTTGGTGACCATTGAATAGAGCTTATTGTTGTTTTCGAATTTGCAGGATTGTGAGATTTGTGATGGAGAATACAATTGAAGAGTGAATCTTAGAATTACAAGAGAAGAAGAAATTACTTTTTGAAGGGCAAGTGTGTTTTTCTTATAGTCGTCTACATAGTATCATATATGTTCTGACAAAAATAAAGTATTTTGATGATTTTCCTTTGCATGTTGTTATTGTCAATCTTTTGTTAGATTCCTTCTTTGCTCCCTTCCTCCGCTCTTTCTCTTGAGAACCATTTTTCGCTAACTGTTTGTTTTTCCTCTGATTACAGGACAATTGGTGGTTCTTCAGAGGCCTTAGGGAAACTAACAACTGAGGACTTGATATCCCTGTTTTATTATCACTTTTGATTTGTTCTATTTCTTCGGTTTGGCAAACCAATTGACATGTGCTTTGTTCAGCTTCTAGCAAAATTTTGTACAAAGTGTTCTGACATTTGCTTTTATGTTGCATGGAGTTTGATCTGTCCAAAGAGTGTTTCTGTTGCTTCTGCATCTTAATTGATATGAATCACCTTCAACAGTCATTAGCTTCATCAATTGTTTTATTATTTCCTTCCATTTTAGCTTCACTTTCATGATAAAAAGTGCATCAGAATCCATACCCTCAAGGCAAGGTCATGGAAATGTGCATCCTTGCAAAAACATTGGCATATGAAGCTCATGGGCAGAGACAGAATTCTAGTCTGAATCATCCATTTATCTCTTTTGTTTCTTTTTGCTTGTCAATGTATGAATTGCATAGAGAAAGCCATTTGGGAGTTCAAAGAAATAGCAAATTTACTTGAAAGGTTATTTAATGATGACTAGTTGTGATTAGGCAATATACTGCTGCAATGTATCCATACGTTAATAAGATAGCCATTGGTAATGCACCTTTATCTATTGGTGTTACTATGGTTTGTATTCATGAACGATCAGCCCGTGAGAAGATTCACACAAATAGTGTTGCTCGTATAATTAATGATGAGACAACGAGGAAGTGTCTGCATTCAGTTAAAAGACTGGTGACATTCTGCCAACAACGCTATCCAACGATGAGATCCAAATATGTGGCTTCCAATAATGCCTATGCCTGCCCAAGGAACTCTGTTTATTCTGTATGTTGATTTCCCCTTGCTGCAGTCTAAAACGGTATCTTTTTTCTCCTTGAAGTTGAAATGACTTCAAATTTCTTTTATTAACTTCTTTTACTTCTTTTTTCTATTGAAATAATATAAAAGACTTGCAAAGGCAATTTGATGAAGTTGACATGAAAAAGTTTGTTCATATATATAGTTGTTATACCATTTGCATCGGGACTTAAATTAACTCTACTTGCTGCACTGCATTAATAGGCAATAATAACCTCAATTGGAACAAACTTGAGTGTTATATTCTAAAGTTCTGATGATTTAACAAACAATGAGATCTGGTAGGGGACTTGATCCCATGAGCGACTGAAGTTCCAGACAGACCTTAGAGGACAGTGGTAAAGTTGTCACAACTGCAGTTAGGGGTGTCGAATGGGCGGCTTGGGTTGAAATTGAAGATATTAAATGGGTTGAAATAGAAATCGGGTTGGATCTTGACCCGCCCAAGTTTACTTTGGGCTCAAATAGGCTAAAAAACGGATTGGGTCTTGACCCGCCCAATTTGACCCACTTAATCTCAATAATTTTAACATAGTGATATTTAACTTTTATAATCACAATTTAAATTTCAACTCAAGAATTTTTTCTTTAAAAAAAGTAACAAATGGATAGATAAATCCTAAAAGATATTAAATAGATAATAACTCATACCTTCAATATAGGAACATATCTTAATAAAGAGTTTTAAAACGGGTTGAAATTGGAGATTGAATTGGGCTCAATTGAGGATTCTCTTAAAATGGGTCAGGCTTGAATGTGTTGAGATTGAACCCAATTCAAATTATCTTGAACCCAACCCTTAAAATTCTGGACGGGTTGCCTATGTTTGAGTTCATTTTTGACACCCCCTAACTGCAGTGGTTGGTGAGAACAGTAACACAGGAGCAGAGCCCTCAACCAATGGCATTGCACTAGGTTGTTTTGTCCATCTTATATTTGTCATATTGACAAGAAACAACCTGGTTTTTGCAATCAAGTTTTTAACCAAAGCAAAAGCCATTCTTCTCTCAAGGCAGGTATTCTCATACGCAGCAAGGGACATGATCGAGTGATTAAGTGTAGTCTTTAGTTGTTATGTGAGGTTAATGTCTTGTATTCAAAAAGTGTAAGATCTATTCATATGCTATAAATGAATTTAGATCATTTCAGTTGCAATCATCGTCAAGTCGAGTTTGTAGCTAGAGTTAGTTGTGTCAAGTTCTTTTTGAAGTCTATATCAACTAGGTTTAGTTGGTGTAGTGGGCAATAGATTCATTGCTTTTTGTCTTGTAATAGAGGTGTTACAAGGAGGAAGGGATTAAGACTTTAATTCCTAGGTTACAAGAGTTATTAATGAAGTTGTCGCTAAAATCCTATGAGATAGGTCGTGCTTTTTTCCTCCCTGAGCAAGAAAGTTTCCACATAAACATCCTTTGTGCTTTACTTTACACATTACTTTCTGCATCGTCTGTGTTTGTGTTATTAAGGGACCTGGTCAGTTACGTTGTGGTGGACTCATAAAAGCCATCAATGAGATTTTACAATTTATTGAGCAAATGCGTTTAATTACGCTTAAATACGTAATAGATATTTAAAAATACACCCGAAAGATTTTCCATAATTTGTATAGAAAGCGTCTAATAAGAACACTTTATTATGTGTTATGTGCTCAATTGAAACAAGTCACAACTCATGTGTCTATAAATGAAGTATACTTCAAGTTTAAGGGGATCTCAATGTAAAAAGCCAAACAAAAACTAATCAAAAGAGGCTAATAAGCTAATCAAGGGAAAACAAGATCCTGACCTAGCACATTACCAACCCCTTTCCAAACCGTCCACACTGATTTTACGCCCCTATTATTCTTATTCAGGCAATTCAGCGAACATCTAACCTGCATAGAACTTTGTGTTTGTGTTCACATGCCATCATGTTGGATAATAGAATTTGGGGAAATCTTTTTCTTCCCATAGAATTCTCAATCATTTGAGTCATTACCTCGCCTGCATAAAGTACGGAAGAGGATATTTCTCCTATTACTGTCAAATTCCTTATCGGAACTCCATATTGAAATGTTAATTAATGCTTTGAATAGTTGGTGTAATTGTCTAATTGAATTGATAATTCTTCATGTATCTGAATGAAGAGGTTACAGATTCAGATGATAGACACCATGCCATGTTCAGAAGGATAGATTTGATAACCACCTCAAAGGTGAAGAAGAGATGTGTTGTCATTGTTGAAGCATGAAAGAAAGACTAGTTGGGATAGTAAGATGACCGAGGAATTTGTTCCTACACACCTTATAAATGCGACTAGCAAAACAGAATCACATGACAATGTCAACAAGATCCAATAAACCAAAGAAAAAGTGATAGTGATGAACTATCGAGAGCTATTGGACAGATTTGAAAAAGAAGATGAGAAAAATACTCCAAGTTACTTTACCGGACCATTCTATCGTTTTTTAGTTCATTCATTTGTAAAGGAAGTTTGAGCCTTTCTTCTTTTGAATTTTATAATTTTGCATTGAGAAATACATAAAACTCCACCTAAACTTGGCAGCACGGGAATTTAAATATCCCTTAACATCTTTGAAGTGAATTAAATACAACCCTAAGAATAGAATACCACTTTCACCTGCCACATCATACCATATAAGTACCACATCACAACCATGTAAGCACCACATCATTAATTTTTGTCAAAATCAATCCAGCTCAATGTTGAGCTTCAATGGAGTAGTCGACTCCATTGTTGAAGGAATGAAGAAGCAATTTGAAAAATGAAAACTGTATATTGAATTATCTACCACAAGTAAGGTTTATATATGTCATGTAGTATGAAGTTCATTCTGTAACTGCTCCTAACAAACTAACAACTTTCTAACCTACTAATCACATTTCACATTAGCTGACTATATAGAATACATAATTAGCTACTTTAAGCTAAAGCTACTATAATACTACTCCAACTACTTTAATACTACTCTAATACTTCAATACCCCCCCCCCCTCAAGTTGGAAGGGAGGAACGGACTGCCAACTTGCGGAGAATGGATAGATGAGACACCCCTGTGAGGGCTTTAGTGAGAATATCTGCCAGTTGATTCACAGTGGTAACATGACGCAATGCAATGAGACCTTCCTGCAGCTTGGTCCTAACAAAATGACAGTCAACCTCTATATGTTTAGTTCGCTCATGGAGTACTGGATTTCTAGCAATGTGAAGAGCAGACTGGCTGTCACAGAAAACATCAATGGGAGAAGGAAATGAAATATTAAGCTCTTCAAATAACCTGCTCAACCATACTAATTCACCCACCACTTTTCTAAGAGATCTATACTCAGCCTCTGCTGAAGACAAGGACACAGTTTCTTGCTTCTTTGATTTCCAGCTTACAGGGTTGTCTCCTAGAAGAACAATATACCCAGTGACGGATTTTTTGGAATCAGGGCAAGCAGCCCAGTCTGAGTCACAATAAACTCTAACTCTGCAGTCACTATTTTTCGACATAAAAATACCAAGGGTAAGGTCCATTTTTAGATATCTAAGTAGGTGAATAGCAGCTTGAAGATGAGGCTCTCTTAGATCTTGCATGAATTGACTAAGGTGCTGAACACTATAGGTAATGTCCAGTCTGGTATTTGTGAGGAAGTTCAACTTCCTAATCAACTTTCTGTAATAAGAGGGATTAGGAAGAGGAGGACCTTCTTTTGCTTTAAGTTTGACATTTGGATCAAGTGGAGGGGACAAACATGTGTAGTCAACCAGATCATATTCTTTAAGTAAGTCCAATGCAAACTTCCTTTGTGAAATGA